CAAGTGCACTAATTTTTGTGCACCGGGCCTCTAGTCTTTTAATAAAACAGGCCCTTTAATGTGTCTATTCTTTGTCTAAGTCTAAATATGGATGTATTAAATGAGGTCCTTGACATGTATGTTACAATGGTAAAATGTAATAACTATGTATAAATGTAATTCCTATGTGAATGCCACTAAACTGATTCAACCCATTTTATGAGATGAATACTAGAAACTTTATCAATTAATTTTATAACTTCTATTAATTCATCAAATTAATTTTAAATTAGAAAAAGTGTCCTTCAATATCTTGACTGTTCTAAATTTATAAATATAGCAACAAACTACACAGAAAAGAGACAAATTTTGAAACCTTTAGCCCCCACATTTAAGAAACCCTCAGACTGATCTCTCACTTATCTTTCCCAGGGGTCCTCTTATCATTGCTACCACATTAGTTTGCCCTTGATCTCTTACCATAATTACTCCAGTAGTCTTCTATCTTATCTCCCTCTTCTTCTCCTCCCTCCCTCCCTCCCTTCCTTCCTTCCTTCCTTCCTCATTCATTCACTTAACAAATATAATTGAGCATCTTCTATAACAGTGATTCTCAACCTGTGGGTCACGACCCCTTTGGTGGTCAAATGACCCTTTCACAGGGGTCGCCTAAGACCATCCTGCATATCAGATATTTACATTATGATTCATAACAGTAGCAACATTACAGTTATGAAATAGCAATGAAAATAATTTTATGGTTGGGTCACAACATGAGGAACTGTATTTAAAGGGCCAGAAGGTTGAGAACCACTGTTCTAAATGCCAGGCATAGCTCCATCCTTGCATTGAGCAAGCATTTAAAATCTTATGTCAGGAATAAGAATTCGTGCTGGGGGAAAAGACAGCAGGATAGGACCTCTATTCTAGGCTCTTACATTTTACTGGATAATAAAATGGGGTTTCTGAAATTCAAACGTGATCATATTACTTCCCATATGTCCCCAGATTTCTTAAAAGAATATAATATATTGTTTATTAATAATAGTTCCCCTTTCGAGTCTATAAAAACACTCAGATCCCAACATCATAGTAGTGGTACCTATTGAATATATTCATAATGAAAAAAAGGCTTCCACCATTAATTTAGAACCTCCTTTAAACGAATTTGTTTTGTATTCATCATAACAGCATCTACCTACATTGGTGAGTTATATTTATTCACCTCACAGACCATGGCTGGCTGGGCCTCAGTGCCCCAACCCCATTTCCCACCCTTCCTCTGGAGGGCTGACTGTTGTAGGCTGTACTTTCAGGCTCATGATTCATCAGAATGAATGGCCAATGGGAACTCCTGGCAGGTAATTAGAGGGCAGGAGGTAGGCAGAAGCCACTGTACTCTTCTCCCTCCCTCTCTCTTCCCACCAGAGCCTCAGCAGCGCATCCATGGCTTTGGTTGGTACAGGGCTGACCCATAGTGATTCTGTTGCCAGTGGATGGCCCTGGTCCCTGGGGTTCAGTCACACTGCCTCCTCCCCATGTCCGTCTGCTGGAGGTAGTAATGACTCCTTGCTCTTGCTAATCCCTGGGCGGCCTCAACATCCCCTGTTTGGCTTTCATTACTTATATAACCAATTCGCTGCCTGTAATTCCTTCTCTTTTGCTTCTTGAATAGCTTCTGTTTTGCTGGATCTGCTGCTTTCATTGATGTGCTCTCCCACTAAAGGTTCTGCACGCACAGGTTGATAACACTGGCATGTGAAGAAAATTCCAACGCCATTGTATGACATTCAAAGCTTTCCTTGGACTCATCCCTGCCTACCCCTCTGGCTGCATCTCTCCTGACATCCCAGTATATACTCGTGCTTCCGTTGTACTAAACTATTCCCAATTCCAGCAGCACATCAGCCTTTCTCCTGTCTCTCTGCCTTCCCTGCCCCGAAGTGGGAAGCCTCTCGTTCCCCCGACAACCTGTGCTCACTTCTAACCCTGAAGCTCTGCGTGTCACATTGCAATTGTTTCCCTCCCATCGGCCCACAGGGCAATCTCTGGGAGACAGAAACTGGGTCATTTCCACCCCTTGTTTAATTCTTAGCACACCATCCAACACATTAGAGGTGCTCAATACTTTGGCAAAACAAATATGAAGCTAAAGGAAAACATAATCTTGCTGAATAATTGAGAGCAGCAAAACACCAAGTAATTTTGATCCTTTCCTTTACTGACTGTAATTGCCTGCACAGAACTCCTTGTTCTGATATGCCATCCTGGTAATTATTTTCTTGTTCTTGGTCAGGCAACCACTTCTAGAAGAAAGTTGTCCCAAGATGCCAAGATCCCTCTTAAACCAATTCCTGATTAGAACATTAAAAAATTGTCAGTCAGTATACCCAGAAGGAAACTTTCTATCTCAAGGGCTTAACACACACACACACACACACACACACACACCACACACACACACACACACACACACACACACTAATAGGAGCCATAATGCAGAGAGAGATGTCCATGTACTCACATATATGCTTTACTAATATATTCAAGTTCTCTTCGTATAAATTTTAAATAGACTGTTTCAAGAAGCCCAGGTCCTCATTTGCATTTGCCTCCCCTCTTTAGTAATTAGGGAAAATAGAAACTAACCAGCCAAATCTTGGCGTGTGTATTTGATAGGCTGTGCCATTTCCCTTAGACTAAGAGAGACTTTACAGAGTGGATTAGTCAATCCTGACCATTCATTAACAGAACTAACAAGACTCCAAGAGGTCTGAGTTAGAGGTTTGCAGCAAACTAAATTGAGAGTGAGCCTGAGATAGAAGGATATTAGGACCATATTTCATTTATTAACCTTTTTTTTTATAGTCCCATTTTCTTTATTTCAAAGCCCCTTTATTTAAAGCGTCTCTGCAGGAACAGTTAATGATCTACAAGCTATTAGTATATGGGTGCTGGACTTCAGCCAGGTCAGAGCTCACCTGGGAATGTATTACCTCATGAGCACACTTGTGGAAAAGCACAAGAGCAAAGAGAGAGAGAGAGAGAGCTGCCAGGTTAAAAACTCAGGAGCACAGAAATTAAAAGAGAAGTAGACAAGGGAAAACCCTTTCCTTGAAATACACAATTCTCATTGTTCAAGACACTTAAGGAAAACTGAATATTTACCTTAAAGTGACTCTTTAGAAATTCTGTTATAGTGATATTTCTTTATAGAACAAGAAACCCGGAGATTCAAAGAACTATCTCAGTGAGAAACCAGGCTATGCTTTAACTATACATTTAAATGTGTGGAACTTTTAACAATGGTATGCTTATTGTCACAGGTTGGTCTTGATAAAACTTAACACCTTATCAATCACAAAACCTTCCAGGAATTTTTCCCAAAAGAAAAGCCCAAAAACCATGCAAAGCGCCTTATACTTGCTGGTCCCAGGAGAGAGAGGAGTGGACATTCAAGAATGCTACACACAAGACATGGCTGTTTGCCTAATCAGCAAAAAGTTGAAAACATTTGCCAAAGGGCTTGAATATCTCTCTTCCAATTGAGTTTGTGGTTTTTCTTTGAAAACAGCATTGTCTGTTTCATGTTACTAAGTTTAAATAATGTGTTCCTCTGGCAAAATAAAGTCTTAAGGCTTTTACTTTTGCCTCCTTCTCCTCCATCCACCATATGCTCCTACCAGTGGGTGAAGCTGGCGTGGAAAACCAGTGAGTGCTTAAATAAATGTGTTTGTTCTTGAACAACGTGGGAGAATCCAATACGACCTTCCCCTTTAGACAGGGGTTTCATTTTAAAGAGAAGAGGCGGCGAGAACAAACGCCCTAGCTGGTTTAGCTCAGTGGATGGAGCGTTGGCCTGCGGACTGAAGGGTCCCGGGTTCGATTCCGGTCAAGGGCACATGCCTGGGTTTCGGGCTCGATCCCCAGTAGGGGGCGGGCAGCAGGCAGCCAATCAATGATTCTCTCTCATCATTGATGTTTCTATCTCTCTCTCCCTCTCCTTTCCTCTCTGAAATCAATAAAAGTATATTTAAAACAAAAAAGAGGCAAGAACAATAACAACTCGCTATTCTGGAAGGAAGAGTCGAGGAAAAGGAAATGGTCAAGCATCTTGAGAAGATAGCAATTGGGGATGGCATCACCTTTGGCCTAAATGAGGGGGGAAAGCTCCTACCATGAGCCAC